CGTATTTTTGGATATCGAGTTTTTACGAAATATAAAAGTTATGGCAAAAAATGGCTTGAGGGGTGGTTATTTCAACCCCTTTCGAGGGGTTAAAATTTTCGAAAAATAGTTGAAAACTCGCATCTGTATTAGTAAACAACCTGTAAAAAAATTGTTATTTGTACCTTGTTCGGTTTTCAAATTACAGCCAATTTTCATAATTTTTTTGGAAACTTTGTTGGCCCATATCTCTTCAGGGGTGAACATTTTACTGAGGCGATTTTTTGCAGATCGTGTTCTTTTGAAACTGACATCATTTATGCTACTCCATTCAAAAACACCCTGTATATATATATCACGATAAACAATTTTTTCCTTGTTTCGTTGAGTTTTATGAAATGATTGATTACAGCCCCACAGGGGAAAAAAATCAGTGCATGATAGACTAGACCACCATACTTACATTTTTTGGGGTCGCTGTATTCGAATCCGGTGTCCGTTTGACGAAGTTAGCTCATATTCAAGGTCACTTGAAGGTCAACTCTTGTTTTTTTTTCTTTGAAGACGTGGTGACTTATTTTTTCATTTTCAAGATCATATATCTGGAAAATGATCTTTACAAAAGTTGTTTGGATCATTATTAGGGACAACCAACTGGTGACTTTGAAGATCATGATTAAGGTTATTTCACGTACAAATCTTGTGTTTTAAAGGTAGTAGATCTGAATACCGTAGGATAGATCATGTTACACCATCCTTTCGGGAAGGTAGGATTTGAAATATCTTCACTGCTAAACTAAAGTCACAATCTGAGAATATGTAGGCCCAAATTCTAGAATACTCTAGATCCTTGCATATCCGATATCAGTGATAGTGATACAAACAGAATTAGCAAGTATAACCATAGCGCCTAAGAAATTTCCCGTAGGTGTACTGTGGGTAAAATTACCGGAATCTACACATCCTATAGTAGACAAACATTACTGATCTTACGTAATCATAAGATAATGACTAGGTCAGTATGGGAATGTTACCAGGCATTGGTAATGGCCATATAGTCAGTTTCCAACAGCATATCTGTATGCTGGATCAAAGGACACGAGCGGTGCAATGGCAATAAAGAAGTTGGATACTGTTGGCTAAGGAAGCACCTTCACAACATGAGGAAATGTGAAACACCTCTGTGTAGGGGTTGCGAACAGGAAGACAAGACAGTATTACATGTGCTATGTAAATGCACTGCTGTCTCGTCAACAAGAGAATCCTTGTTGGGAGAACGTTGGCCTTCTATAGTCAATATTAGAGAGAGCAACCTTTTTCCTTTTAATACGTTGGTTAACGGCTTAGATGAATTGATCTCCTAATGGGAGAAAGTACAAAGGACCCAATAGGGCCTAAGTGTTGTAGCTTTTAAGCTACCCTCCCTACAGATTTCAGATTCCAGATTCCAGAAGCCCTCAAAATCATGAAAACTAAATCTCACCTTACTCCAGGTAAGTGGTGGCGCCCGATGATCCAAACAACTTTTATAGAGGTAATATTCCCGATATCTCGTTATCCTGACAACATACCTGAGAAGTTCGAGAGGGGGATTTGTCCCTCAACAACCTTCAAATAACCTTGAAAATGAAAAAATTACTCAATCACGCCCATAACGCAAAATTTCTTGCTCTTCTGAATCCGGTGTCAGAAATTGTATTATCCACAAAAAACAAGAATATACCTTCAAATAACATTGAGCATGCGCTGACTTCGTCAAACGGCCACCGGATTCGGATTCAGCAACCTCAAATACGTTTGGGTATGGTGGTTTAGTCACACATCACATTGACTTTTTCCCGTGGGTATGTGTGATTAAAACTTTTAGACAAATAGAAAATTTAGATTAAACGGTTTGTGATGGTAATTTGAACTTAAATTTGTGTTTGGTCAGTGTTCCCTAAATTCAACTGAAATCATTGTTCATGTGTAAGATGGTGATCTGTCTTTCTGTGGAGGGTAGTCCAAGCTACATTTTTATATAGTAAAAGTAGTATTTGCAGAGGAAAAAGGAAAATGTAATGCTAAAAAGTCTGTGATTTATTGTTCAGGCAACATGAGGGTAAATGTGCGTCTAAAAACTACAACAAAACATAGACTTAAAATTAAAAATAAACATTTACCGAACATAAGATGAACTAAAAAAAAAACGCCGTAAAATAATTTAAGAAACAAAAAATAATTAATTCTTAGTCAGATTCTGGAGATGTGGGACACTGATAATAATGAAAAAACTGGGCCTAACTAATTGTCAGTGCTTTTATGCAAACGGTTGCTGTATACGAAAAAAGGAGATAAACTATGATATTTTGCTGTACACATGTCTTATCCAAACTGGTCCGACTTCCCCCCACTGAGTCGATTAATGAACCGATGAATCTGTTTTTTAATTTTGCACTATTATACATATAATTGTTAAACAAAAGTATTACTTTCAATTTGTAATGCAAAGGATTAGTTACTTTCCTGTTATCTTTGTTATAAGCCTAAGCCTTTTATACTGGCAATAAAAATGAATTATTGTATTTTTTTAAACTAATCTAAGTGTCCTCGACTACTACATTATTAAAATAATAGCATATCTGTACCCTTCTTCAGTTATGCGGTGCAATATAACATGCAAGAACAGAACTTTCAAACAAACATTTTAGGTATAACAATACGTAAGTCCCGCTATTGACATTCAAAAAATACTCACATCAAACCCCGATCTTCATCCCAACCATAAAGTGAAGTTACACGTTTTTTTCCGTGAGTGAGTCTGGTTTTATTCTTTGTTGTAATATCAGTAAGTACTATATGGTAATATCTATCATCGCCTTCAGGTTGTGGCAAAATTTCCAGTTTCTGGGTACCGTCCTTGCTATATTTGGGTATTTTCGCGTCTAACCAACCATTTTCCTCTGTGTAACTCTCTTCCTACAAAAATTACATCGTAACACAAAAGCTGCTAGTCTAAATAACTGGACAAGTACCTCTTCACATAATCCGTCTAATGTACATCTAATAATAATCGACTCGTTTTGAATTCTGTTGGTTGAAATCATGGCGATTTCCGTATTAGAAACCCAGGACAGGTCGTACAACACATAGTCATTAGTTTCTTTGTTATCTATTGAAGATGGAAGTTGGAATTCTACGGTAGTGTTTGCGTTTATGTCGTATAAGTACACAATCACAAGTGGATTCGTGGTTCCTACCTAAAATAAAATTGTCGTTGGTGGAGTGATGTTCATCCTAATTTCACTATTCCGACTCGTGGTCAGTACTCATTTAAAACAAATGATGGTGTGGGATTTATAAAGATATAGTAATTGGACCATACTTTTTTCATGTTATATTAAATAGAGAACGTTATTTAAATTTCTTAAATATTTTTCGTCAAATTGATAATGAAAAAGTCACCTATTTATAGACAACCTGGGAGAATGGACAAAAAAATAGAAGGACATTACGAATCTAAACTTAGACTTAATTTTTAATTCCAAGTAGCATTTTCCCATTACATTTTTCTCTAAAATAAAAATTAATTGTGCTTTTCCCTTGTCAAATTTAATTTTTGGCCACCCAGTATATGCTATCTCAAGTTTGAAAAATTTATTACCATTTTTTCAAAAAGCAGAACTTTTTATAAAGAATACCTTTTTTTCGTAAAATTGATATAAAGAAGTTACCCATTTGTAGAGAACTTAAAGGTATAAACATATTGCATTTTCTGCAACGACCAAATTATTTATTATGTTTTACAGCCACATTCTAAACAGGCACGTATTCTACGAATTCAAGTGTCTGGTATAGGCTGAAAAATTTCCTTATGATTCCTATTACCTAAGCAGCGGCAAAAATTATTTCCTGGTACCCAATTAAAGCCTAAATGAGTATTCGTTTGATTGGCAAATCTGTCTTTTTGTCTGCAATGAGAATTTTACGTTATGGTCATCGTTCAGAGCCAGGGATAATACAAATAACCTAATATACAGGGTGTTAATGAACTTATGTCAAAAATTTAAAGGTGTGAAAAAGTAGCAAAACCTGAGTTAACTGATGTCACAAACTTGTATTGGAAGTTTAAGGTCATAGAAAAAAAACTTAACAAAAACGTGTTTAAAACTGTTTTGGAACTGCTGAAATACATGTATTTTCTCGCGGCGAGTACTTAAAAAAAATTCTGTAACACTTTTTACGAGTTTGTACGTTTCTTATGAAGCCGGACTGTATTAGAAAATCAGTTTTTAATACCTGTTACAGTGATTGCTGTGCTGTTTTTCGAGAGTACATTTAATAGCTATATTTCCAAGTTTTCTTTTGAAAATGGCCCATTTATTTAGCAATCGCGAATACTATGATATGCTCATAATTTATGGCCAAGCAAACGAAAATGCTCACAGAGCTTATCAGTGTACCATGCAAGATATCCTGAACTACGTGCACCAGAAATATCGCACAGCAAGTAAATATTTTGCATCCTGTTGTATGGCGGACATTACGAGAAACTCAGCAGCCTAGTTAGATGCCCCCTACCCCCCCCACCCCTTTACACTTCTTTTTGTGGTGTTATGTATCCAACGGAAGTTCGTGACATCGGCCAACTGCGACATCGAAGCTTTTAATACGATTGAGAGGACGTGGCAATGTTGCAAACCGTCCGAGCGAATTGGATATGTCGCGCTGAAGCTTGTGTGCAAGCAAATGGTGGGTATGTACATCGAACATCTATGAAAATCAGTAGTTCTCAAAAGGTCATTCCTTGCAATGTTGAAGTAAGTCAGATTTTAAAATTACATTTTACTCAACACAAATCCGTGTATTTACCTCATTTTGAAATAACGAACATGTGGCAAAAATATTTGACATAAGTTCATTAACACTCTGTATTAGTGTATCTGGGTACCGGTTACCAAACATACAAGAGTTGTATTTTACTTCTCCACAAATTGTGATATTTACGTATGGTAAACACAATATAACCAAAATATTGCACACATAGTTGTACAGTACTAATCTGAATATAATCAACCAAAAGGCACGATAAGTAACACATTCTAGTCAACTGACAGTAACAGTTTCTAATCAACCAACAACTGAAATCTCAACTACTGCTGGCATTTTGTGGAGAGTCCCCAGTTCGGGAAACAATAAAAACAACAGAAAATTAATCACAATAATTAGAGCCAGAAATTTTTAATATTTTTTAATAAAATAAAGTGATATTTGGAGACGTAAATTATTATTACACTTAAAAACTAACATTTTTGGACATTACTGGCATTTGAATTATTTTGTAAACTTTGATTTTGACTTTACAAAACTAATAAGTATAGGATCCTAGGTGTACATAACTTTTTCGTTAATTTTGATCTGTACTATTAAGTATTAAACATCCGGCACATACAAACACCCTGTATATCTTCTTGTAATGCTTGTATCGTAATTAGATCCCAATACTTTACTTAATTTACATATAGTCTAGCAATCAAAGACAAAATGTTACCAAACACTGTTATTGCAATAAACAACCGTTACAGCAACAATTCCGCAACTAATCGGAAACAATGCCTTCATGAGAAATATCTAGAAAAGTGATTTTAATTTCATAACAAACTATTAAGAGGAATTTAAAAAAATAATTAGAATCCGATGGATGCTTAGTATTTTTATAAAACTACTAAACTACTAACTAAAACTTTTTTATTAAATATTTAGCTATATTAGGATTTTATATAACTTATGACACATTACTGTGTGCTGTCGTAATAGACCAGGCAATAAAGAGAAAAATATCTAGATTTTCGCGGCCCGGTCCGATTTTAATGCGGTTTTTTGCATTTTGTTCAGAAAGACTGTCGGAAAAAAGTCCCGCCTTTTTTATTATCCGGAAGTGGCGGCATCGAATCTGAGAAACTTGCCAAAGTTCATGAAATACCGCAAAAATTGGTACTCGGGGGTTTTGGGGGGCGCAGAATTCGAATATGCATATATCCAGTCCACCCGACCCCCCGGGGGCGACTTCCGGCCGCCTGGATGCTGATTCCGAATCTGACCCTGCCAAATGCATCCGATGACTATTTCTGATTATTTTGGTGAAAGGAAGAAGGATGAATATAAATTAATGGAAAATCATCAATCACGAGCACAGGGGATATTTTTCACCCTCAGATTCGGAATCAGCACCCGCGAAAACCCCCGGGATACATTTTTCCAGTCATTTCGAGAACATTACATTTCAAACCCCCCGCGCCCCCCAGGCGGCCGGAAGTCGCCCCCCGGGGGGTCGGGTGGACTGGATATATGCATATTCGAATTCTGCGCCCCCCAAAACCCCCGAGTACCAATTTTTGCGGTATTTCATGAACTTTGGCAAGTTTCTCGGATGCGATGCCGCCACTTCCGGATAATAAAAAAGGCGGGACTTTTTTCCGACGGTCTTTCTGAACAAAATGCAAAAAACCGCATTAAAATCGGACCGGGACGCGAAAATCTAGATATTTTGGGGTAAATCGTTCTTTATTGCCTGGTCTATAATGGCATGTGCTGATGTACCTCATCACAACATAATAGTTGAAATTATTCAGTATCGATTTTACGAAATTACAGCTAGTTACGTTAGTATGATAATTAAAGAAATGGATAATTTTCTCTTTAGAAAGGATCTAAATCAGAAAGAGGAAATGTTAGTTACTATGTACTTCAATGTTGATAGTCCAGTTGATAGAGGTTCGGCGCGTGTCAAACCTTGATAACCCGGAAATAATTACACAGGTCTACTTTAAATGATGAGTACAATAACTGACTAATTTGCTGACAAAGTATTTTATCAGGAAAAAAAGTTATTAACAATTTAATCGTGAAAAAAATTTTTTTTAGTAGTTTTCTTTAAATAACTCAGCGGGATGACTTTGTACGAAAAAATGCTTAGGACATGATTTTGTTCGTAATAAAAATAGCTACAAAATGGCGGTGGTCCGATTACGAAATTTGCAATAACAAAGCCGTGAGATTGAAAAAACGGTATAAAACGCCAATTTTTTTAAGTTGCTGTAAAAATGTCAATTATAAACAAAAAGTGATAAAACTTTCGAAAACTATAGTTCAATATATATACAATAATGACGCTAAAGCCGAAAATCAGGAGAGCAAAACTTTTTGTTCTATAAGGTGTTATACATTCATCGGCATCTGAAACTCGAAACTTTGCCAAATTTGTTCGAAGCTTTGCTGACACTTGAAATTTGGTACACACATAGTGTAAATATGCAGAAACCAAAAGCAATTTGCAAAATTCAAGTATCTTCATTTTTGCAGTTTTGGTAAGGTTTTATACGTCACCCTAGTTTTATACGTCACCGTTTTTTTAATTTTTGGACGTATATTTATGTATATTTATAAAATATTCCATTACGGTAGATTAGCCAGCATAATTACCTACAATTTAAAAAAATATATATTTTCATCGTTTAGATCCTAAGCTACTTAACATTTTGCGCCTGTTAGCCGTAGTCGTACATTATTCAACATATTAACATAAAACAAAATCGTACGTGTGGGGTAAACCTTTAACTTTTCATTTTCGAGCGCGAGCTCCGCTCTTCGGCGCTTGTATACTATTAGAAATATGCAACAGTAAATTTAAACAATTGTTTACTTAAAGTTAAAGGTTTACCCCACACGTACGATTTTGTTTTATGTTAATATGTTGAATAATGTACGACTACGGCTAACAGGCGCAAAATGTTAAGTAGCTTAGGATCTAAACGATGAAAATATATATTTTTTTAAATTGTAGGTAATTATGCTGGCTAATCTACCGTAATGGAATATTTTATAAATATACATAAATATACGTCCAAAAATTAAAAAAACGGTGACGTATAAAACTAGGGTGACGTATAAAACCTTACCAAAACTGCAAAAATGAAGATACTTGAATTTTGCAAATTGCTTTTGGTTTCTGCATATTTACACTATGTGTGTACCAAATTTCAAGTGTCAGCAAAGCTTCGAACAAATTTGGCAAAGTTTCGAGTTTCAGATGCCGATGAATGTATAACACCTTATAGAACAAAAAGTTTTGCTCTCCTGATTTTCGGCTTTAGCGTCATTATTGTATATATATTGAACTATAGTTTTCGAAAGTTTTATCACTTTTTGTTTATAATTGACATTTTTACAGCAACTTAAAAAAATTGACGTTTTATACCGTTTTTTCAATCTCACGGCTTTGTTATTGCAAATTTCGTAATCGGACCACCGCCATTTTGTAGCTATTTTTATTACGAACAAAATCATGTCCTAAGCATTTTTTCGTACAAAGTCATCCCGCTGAGTTATTTAAAGAAAACTACTAAAAAAAATTTTTTTCACGATTAAATTGTTAATAACTTTTTTTCCTGATAAAATACTTTGTCAGCAAATTAGCCTGTTATTATACTCAACATTTAAAGTAGACCTGTGTAGTTATTTCCGAGTTATCAAGAAAATGTCACCAACAGTAACTTTTCGGCCTCTGCCGACTGAAGTATGAAGCTTTATACTGAAGAAAAGTCAAGAATTCGTTTTGTTAATAATTTAATGACACTTAATTTTTTTTACCAACACTGAAAAGAAAAAAATAAATAAACAATACTTTCATTGAAGAAAGTCTTAACCACATATTTTCGGATATATTCCCCGTATATGAGAGTACCGTAATAAGATATTTTCTTCTGAATAAAATATAATTAATTTGACATTTTATGTAAGTAATGTATTTCTTAATTCTGAATTTCAATTTCGTTTAAGTTGAGTCAAAATCTACTCGTATATCTAAAGGCACATACTTTTGGATACTTAATTGTGGCTTCCGTAGGATATTGTGAATCCAGAGATCCAGGTGTTCCATAGAGATAATAAGTGAAATCTGTAACATTTTCATCCTGGAAAGTAGCATAGGCAATGTGTGTCGCATTTGGGGACATCCATAGTGCAGAACCGCTGCCAAAAACTTCCTCTGCAAAAAAAATAAATAAACAATGATGCATAAAAATTCACTAGCAGCGGGAGCTGTGAAATCTGAGTCAATTTTTTTCCGCTTTACGTAATGCAACAGGCACGTTTTCAGAAGCTGAATTATTATTGTCTAAATATAGCATTGGAATACCTTAGAAAGGTCAAATTTATAAAAAAAAAATAGCAAGTTAAATGTTTGAAATTCCTGAAGATCTATGTAAAAAATGTTTTTTTAGTTAGGATATTAAATAAATGGAGACTATTACATTTTGGTACTAAATGTAAGACTCAAAATTTGAAGTGCAACACCAGAAAAATGGCTCTGTTTGGAATACTTGTAAAATGTTTAAAAAATAGACAATTTGAGAACACGAAATTGTAGGAAATTCTTCGATATCATCTGTTATGACAGGATGCAACTCATTCTTGTTACTATAGTCATAGTGGAGAGAGAGGGAGATAAGAGTAATGATAGTAGTTGAAGAACGACAAGAATAGTTTTAAGCGAAATAATCATAAATGGACATGTACATCTCTATTCAATAGAGCTATGCCGTTTCTGATCCAATCGTACCAAAGGATACAAGAGTTGGATTCGAATGATTCGACTCCTAAGGTATTAATATCGATTTTGTTCCGGGAATTGTAAAAGTCGCATCACGCTGATTAATGGTGACTCGAAACAGGGATGAAATTTCAACCTTTTCCACTACCTGCTATTTTTGTACAAAATAAATAAATATGAATTAATGGTTGCCGAAGAACGGAACTGAGTGCGCATTTGTCAACTCCTATACCATCCGAATCGGAATCTTAAACGAGTTCAAAGAATCGATTCTGACAAGGGTATTGATATCTATAATTTGATTGCCAGAAGAAAACTATTTAGTCTATTTCTACTAATCAAACGGTCAGAAATAGACCTAATTAAGCAGATCTTATAGACTTAGACGTTCTTCTAGACATTGAAAATGAATCAGAAAACACCGAAGAAATTTGTTCCTGCTACGGAAAAAGCGTAAGGATTCCAAAATAGATACAAAAGGATTATCAAATCGTTTGGGAACACATTGTCAGCTGGGTTTGTTTTCTTTAGTGAGTGTGTCTCAGCTATGAATGAAATTCTTCAAGTATTCTTCAGGTAAAGTCGATTAGACTATTTCCAAGAACACTAAAAAACCAATGGCGTACGATTTTTTTTTTAAAGTCCCCTACTCCTCCAATAACTACGCCACTGGAGTATATATTTTGGAATAAGTTATCCATGAATAAATATTCCCTACTAAAAAATGTCATCCCCCAAATTTTATCACTCAATCTTTTTTGCCAGTGAAGTTATAGAAAACTTTTAACACCTTGTATCTCCGTAGGGAAGCGTCCTATAAAAAAATTTTATGGGGCAAAACTTGATTATTTTCATCGGTAGAATACGCCATTAAAGTTTGGCCAAATTTATCATTTAAATCAAGGATTTTTCTATAGTCTAACGCAAGCTGTTGGAAAATTCTGAACAGACCTATTTTATGGATCATTACAAATTTTGAGTTGAAAAATAATTTGCGGTAACAAATGATCATTCAAGAAGAATTTATTTATGTACAATTTATAAGTTTGCCATTAAAAGAGAAAAACTAAGTGATGAAAACAAGAAACTGTTTCGAGAATATATGTATTAGAGTTCAAAGATAAAATTAATATATCGATCAAGAATATATTTATTTTAATATACAGTGTCTCACATTTAAATAGCAGGACTTCAGGAATCAGTAGAAGACCTCGTTTTGAGTCTAAAAGTTCCTATATATATGGGTCCTAAAACGCTTCGTTTCTGAGATACAGGGCGTTCAATTTTATTTTTGTTTTATTTATTTATTTTTTAACTAAATAACCGCTGACAAAAAAAATCATCATGTTGCGGCGAAAGACTTAGTATTTGAGGGCAAATAATTTGACACAGAAAATCATCGCATATTAGTTCCAGTGGTGGAGATAGAGGGGTCTCTATGCATATTTTTATAAAAAAAAGTATAGCCGATTTGATATTTTGCAAATGTTTTCGAAAAATATGAAAGAGCATTCAATTTTACCCAGAAAAGGCCCTCTTGTCCAAAGTCGATAGGAGGTGGCGTTTTCAAGAAAAACCGAAAATACTGTTTAGAAGTCAAATAATAATTTTTAAACATTGTGTTACAACTAAATTAAATATGTAGTTCAAAAATTCGGTTAAAATTGTTTTTAATTAATTAAATGAAAATAAATACAAAAATAAATAACGAAAACCATATTACATCAAAGCAAATGTTCGAAATGTAAACCATTTTCTTCGATACATAACTGACACCGACGCTGAATAGAACGTCTCATTTGAATTAAGTTATTGTCTCTGATTTCACTGCATGCGTTCCGAATCCGACGAATAAGTTCATCCCTTGTGTCCACAGTAGTGGTATAAACTCTCTCTTTAATAAAACCCCAGAGGAAAAAATCTAGGGGTGTCAGATCAGGGGATCGGGGAGGCCATGCAACGATACCCCCGCGGCCAATCCATTTTTCGGGAAAGTGGGTGTTCAACCAGTTCCTGACATTTCGGCCAAAATGAGCTGGACAGCCATCAAGTTGAAACCATGCTCGCATTCTTAAATTCAGAGGAATTTCCTCCCACATGTTGGCACTCTCGGTCTCTAAGAACTCTAAGAAATTCGCAGAATTCAGTCGTTGAGGTAAGATGTAAGGGCCGAAAAGACAATTGTTATAAACGCCGAGCCAAATATTAACACTAAATTCGTGCTGAAAATTTCGTGGTCTGATTGCATGCGGGTTTTCATGTGCCCACTCATGCTGATTGTGTAAATTTGTCACACCTCGACGAGTAAAACATGACTCGTCGGTCCATAATATGTGTGATAAAAAATTTCCGTCGTTTTCAATTGAGTTAAGAATCCACCGAGAAAAAGCTATTCTATGTTCCTCGTCACCCGGACGTAAACCCTGAACAGGTTGTAAGTGGTAGGGATGTCTATGATCTCGTCTTAATGTTCTAGAAATAGTGCACCTGGAAACACCAATAATCCTGGAAATTTTTCTGGTACTCGTCGTGGGATCTCTGTCAAATTCGTGCAAGATTCGCTGATTCCTCCTATTTCTGCCAATATTAACGTTAATTATGTTGCGATCCCTATGGACCAGATTCAATCCGTCATTAGCGAAACGTTGATGAACATTAATAAAAACGTGTGGATGCGGCTGTCTTCTATTAGGAAATCGTCTCCGATATTCCCTAGCAGCTTCTGCCGAGTTCCCATTGGCAAACCCGTATATGAAGTGAATATCTGCGTATTCTTGGTTCGTAAACTTAAACGGCATTTTGAATTTGTTGCAATTTTTTTTAATACTCTACACACAATTAGAAACTATAATAAAATAAGCGCAAATGTCAATATTAGAATGACATTTCAAGTCTGATTTGATTTCTAAACAGTATTTTCGGTTTTTCTTAATTTGACTTCTAAACAGTATTTTCGGTTTTTCTTGAAAACGCCACCTCCTATCGACTTTGGACAAGAGGGCCTTTTCTGGGTAAAATTGAATGCTCTTTCATATTTTTCGAAAACATTTGCAAAATATCAAATCGGCTATACTTTTTTTTATAAAAATATGCATAGAGACCCCTCTATCTCCACCACTGGAACTAATATGCGATGATTTTCTGTGTCAAATTATTTGCCCTCAAATACTAAGTCTTTCGCCGCAACATGATGATTTTTTTTGTCAGCGGTTATTTAGTTAAAAAATAAATAAATAAAACAAAAAAAAATTGAACGCCCTGTATCTCAGAAACGAAGTGTTTTAGGACCCATATATATATAGGAACTTTTAGACTCAAAATGAGGTCTACTGATTCCTGAAGTCCTGCTATTTAAATGTGAGACACCCTGTATATTTCAAATTAAAAATAAACTCTCCTGCTTTAAGCAAGCGTTTAATTAAGTGTAGAAATGTTACTTAGTTTATGATTAAAGTATAGTCATATACACCATTCTTGGTTCAAAATACTGATTTTCACTGTATGGTAGTCGATATATTGCAACAACTAAAAGGTATTAAAAGTAATACATCAAACACAAATGAATGTTTGCGTTGCACTTGCTCATAAATAATATAGATAACAATGAAGTACTTAATGTGGTAACCAGTCAAAATTTTGATAGTATGTATAATAATGCATAGATATGAGTTGCTCTTTAACGAGCAGATCTTCGAAAACGAATTTTGCGAATGTAAATGTATGTGTAGAATGACTTATGATGGGACCAGTTTCTTAAAAAGTTGATCCACATGAGCCACCAAGATAACGTGAAGACTTTATAACGCCCATATTCACAAGCTGTAACTAAACTAGAAAAAGAATGCTGTTATAGATTCACCTTTACTTAACATTAATTGCTCTTCCAGAAATTGACCTTTTTATTTATTTTTCTTGAATGTTCAAATACTTTGCATTAACTGTAGGTCGCTTTTTCCTGGAAAATAAAAGCAATCTTCTTTAACTAAAGTTCGGCATAATACAATTGCGTGTTATCACGAAAGAGTTGTTAAAATACTGATTAGATAGAATATATTAACGTCATATCGTAACATTTTCAGATATACCGTTAACATTTTAATACCGTTTAATGCAAACGGATATTTATGGTAGTGAAATTCAATTTAGTAATCATTTTAGTATTACCTTCGTATACCCAATCGGGAACGCCACAATAAATGACTCCCGGTTCTCCTATATTTGTAACAATTATAGGATTAGAGGTGTCGACAGCAAAATCCTCCAGATAGTAAATGTTATTCTCATAAACGTACACTAGGCCATGTCCTGTGGGAGCAAATGTTGCTAGTTGAATTGGTTTCAGATCGGCAATATCGTAGTAGGTCCTAAAATAATAAAAAAAAAACATCCATTATCTTTAAATATTTGCTTCTTGTTGCGGAGTTATTATTAAATTGAAATTTTTACTATTGTCAGTCGAATCATAATTTTATGTCGTAACAATAAATATTTAGGTTCTTAAAAAAAGTCAAAGGATCAATCGAATTCTATTAACAAAAATGAATCTTTAAATTTTATACTTACTGATTGCTAATATCGTATACCGTGAAGAGGGATGTAGTGGAATGCCTGAAAACCTAAACAAGCAAGTATACAGTATTCCCATATATAATGGTACATGGAGCAACAGCGGATCCTACACAGTAAAATATTACGACTTAACTTACCTTAACTTATCCAAGAAATAATACCTAAAAGATACAGAGCGTCAAGGTGAAAAATGTGTTTTTATTATTTTTAAACAACCTTTTCAAAATTACGAACAGATATTGCTTAAATTTTAGAGATTGGGAATTCATGGAGGTCACGCGACGAATTCAAAATCCAACATATTTTTGCTCTTACTTATTAGAGAGCACTATTTGCGACATTTTGCGTATATTTAAAATGTCCTAACCTTTTTGCTCCTCGGTATATTCTCTTCTGTATTCTCTGTTTATCCTCTTTGATTTTTTTCCATCTTCCTACTTTTTCGCGTAAAAATGGATATACCCTCCAAGTGTCGTTACGAGTAACCATTTTCGAGATATTCACACTGTAAAAAATCGGTGTGAGTGAAAGCAATAAAGGTTCGGAGTGGATCCATTGAGTGTAATCATTGAGTACATTTTCACTCAATAAATATTATCATTTTACTCATTTGTGATTATTTTACTCATTTGTGATTACATTTAAACAAAAACTGAGTACTTTCATTCAAATATAGGTCCTTAACTAAATTCTTCACGTAAACTCGTATTTGGTGCACTTGTACCTAAATCAGAGTAAATGTCCTCATTACTCAGTGATCCCACCCTTTCTCATATCCAGATGCATTCTTTGTCTGTTTCCATCGTCCCATTAGGTTATCTCGTGACCGTGGTGTGGTGGATGGCAGTATGGCGTATGGTGTGCTTTGGAGTTGGACAAGTATTGGTTTATCTGGTTATTCTAGTGAAAATTGTATTTAAATGTAGTGATTTAATTACAATAATTAAAGACAATATATGAAGTCTCGATTAAGATTTTGCTAAATACACGGATAGTAAATTGTTATCTATAATTACGTATTTGTAACGTGTAATAGTTTATGGCAATTTATTTATCCGATCAGTGAACCAATCGAGACCTAATTATTGTCTCTAAAACAATGATTTATTTAAAATAAAATTTCGAGAAAATATAAAGTGCAAAACTACTCCAAACGTTAATAATATGGAAGCATTTATTAAGTAAATTGTAACATTAATAGACCTAATTTCAAATAATATGGCTTTTACCCAAAAATTATACAAATTTAATAAATTACAAAAAAATACCGATTTTCATCTCAAGGGTTAATATAATATACTATCAAAAAAAAATGTAGATTTGAAATATTATTTTTACAATATCTCTCCTAATTTCAAAGTTCATCATTTGAAGAACACGCTGTATAGCGTCTAATAAATTTGAACACTGTATCTCCTAATTAATCAGTTATGAGTGATTTATTTTTGCAACTCAATATTTAGTTAATTAAAAACCAAGTATGAGTAAAAAATTCAATAATATATAATTAAATCATATTAGAGAAAAAGTCAACTCTAAATTGGTTTTTGTATACTCAGCACAGAGTCAAAAGTCACTCAATTGATAGTTAGCAGTAACTTGCATTTGAGTAGAACTCACTCAGTTGTACTCATACTAATAGAGAAAATTTCACTCAATCGGGTGTGGACAGAAATTGATACATTATCGAGTAAAATTGAGTGAAATTTGAGTGAAATTTTTTTACAATGTAGCTTTAAAGTTTCCAATGCAACGAATTTAAATCATATGTTATAGGGCCGTATGTATACTTTACCAAGGTAGGTAGGCTTTAAAAAATTAATTTAATAAAAGTAATCGTCACAAAAATTAATAATTTAGAGTGAAAAGAAGATTATTATTTAATTATCTTTTTTAGATTTTTTGATTTATTAAATTTAAATGCTGACAGGAAAGAAACCAAACTTTTAAATAAAAGACAATACTGTAACAACTGTTGGAAGTGGTTTTCGTTTACTTCGATGCATTTATGATCTCCTGATTTTAATTCACGAAATTTTCAATTTGCTGCCATAATTCCTCTCAAGCATTTATTATCAATTCATGCATAATATAATAATATGTATCCACATACGAAAAAATATTTTGGATTAAAATGGGGGCTCCGCGTAGGCCAAGGCGTTTGGCTCCCACAAACTATCCAGCGACCAGAGAAACAGACAAGAGAGTAATTGCTCAGTGGAATAGAAAAATGTGCTGGAGAGACATCCTGAATGAAAAACGTATGCATTAAGTTCAATGGTAATTCGCCCGAGAAATTGGGTAGCTGATTTTGGAGGAAATTTGAGTATAATTCGCCGTTTAACGCAGGCGGTAATTCGTATAGTCCAGTAACTGTACATCAAATGGTAAGTTTAATTAATGTTGGAAGTGACGTTCGGCTACTATGTACGGATTTTCTGTCTCACGACTCTCACGTATGTTTGTTCCTAAAGTTCCTACGTATAAACGTAGCTTCATCCATAAACAACACATGTACATTCGTAAAAGATAAAGCTTTTCCTGATGAAATATCCTATGTATTATTGATTTACGTAATACAGTTTCCGTAGCCATGCGCCTAATACTTATCTTCGGGTTATCTGCAACTTGGACCAAAATTTCTTCTTCCTGTTCTGGAGGAATGGTTTTCAGGCTTCTTACATTATATCGATCTTAAAATCTGGCTGCCTTCTGTTTGGATACAACTTCAATATCGGCGCTGAGCTCCGAAACCATTAAAATCATCTTGTTCGTATACGTTTATCATGTCATATTTGTATTAGAAAATAGTTTGTGTCTTAGAAGTTTCAACTTACTTTTGCCCGAGTTTTTATGAAACAACGCTCAAAATGCTACCAAACAAGTATGTTTGATGGTTGCCAAGTTTGAAAACATCATTTATTAATTTTTGTTTTTCAAAGCCTGCTTTGGAAAAGTGCATACTTTCCTATATGAAATAATTTAAATTCGTTTCACTGGGAACCTTAAAGGTTAATATATCAAAAATGGTTACCTGTAGCGGTACTTACAAGGTATATTTTTTGTATAAAAAAACATGCCAAGGAGCAAAAAAGTTATGACATTTTAAAGACTTGGAAAGTGCCACAAGTGGTGCCCTCTAATAAGTAACAGCAAGATTGGACTCGAATTCGTTGTCTCAGAGAACCTCCGATCTCCAAAATTTGTGCAATATCTGTAATTTTGAAAAGGTTTTTCGTCTTAACGCCTTGTACCTATCTTTTTAAGTATCAATTCTTGGACTATGGTAAATTAAGTTAAATTGTAATATTTTAGTATGTAAAATCCGTTGTTGCTCCATGTACCGATACTTAAGGGACACCCTGTATGAACAGTTAACACGAAATTGTACTACTTAATGCTAGGATACAGAGCGTTATGTTCGCCGCATTCACTATACACCTTAAAATAGCCAATATTACGGGAACTGTTTTACATATGTATTAAAAGGAAACACCATTGTTTTAAATAGACGTAGTCAGGCAAAGTACATACCATGTACGCTACTTTCATGATGATAGACTCATTGAAGATTTGCTCTTCGGTTAAACAGGGTGTTACAAAAAGTGTAAAAAATGTAAAAGTTAAAAGTACTAGAAAAACTAAGAAAAAGGTCCATTTGACATGTTCAGAAATGCCTTGGTGTTAAATTGTTTCTTAAAAAAATATGTTTTTGTTTATATCTTTCAAACTGAATTACCAAATCATTTCAAATATGGCGATGATAAATGAGAAAATTCAGAGACCGAGAGTCAGGGGTACCGTCACCTTTTTGGGTAGTTCATCCACGCCTCCGAAATTTTCGCAAAAGATACTAGCATTTTCTGAAGGAACAGAGTAAATCGCATATACAACGTAATCTTTTTTTGACAGTATGCACATAATACAAATTATAGATAAATCACTTTTGAATGTCGTATTCATTGGAATGAAGAAAAAATGCCCACTCAAATATTTCAGGTTGAATTCCAATTGAGTTGCTTCTACTGCATTGGTTATTGTAGAAGTTCTCAAATGGTTTTGTATGCATCAAACCTAAGATAACCTCAAATAAAGAATTGCAGCTTGCTTCAGGACAGGAGTTGTTCGTAAATTTGATTTAAATACCTTCGAACCACAAACCACACCTGACGTTCAGTCGCAGGTCTTCAAGTAAAGCGGAAATGAGTCGTTCTTAAGAGGTGGAGATATGTAGGATCATTTAATTGATTGAAATTAGTATCGTTACCATATTGCCTCAAAACCCATCACAAAATGTTAATCTGTTATCGTGGATTGGATGCTTATGCACATTAGGTGTGGACCTTAATAGTTCTCCAAACAAGAGGGTGACAATTTAGATATATGAACCACAAATCACCTACTGCTACTTCCTGAGTTTTCTCTCATTTTCTCCAAAATATGTTTATAAAATAAACTTAAAATATGCTTCTTCTTAATTCATAAAAACTTTATTGTAAAACACATGATAAAATTTAAACGATGGTATGGTTTTTCTGGAAATAATTAACAATTTATTTATTAAGATAAAAAGTCAAATAAATTTTGTACTGTCATTCACGTGTGTATAAACAAGTTTTGTATTATCATGTGCACGTAATTAAGAAGGATTTTATAATCACGAAAACGGTGCGAAAAGAAATAAAATTACCGTTTCTATAAAATTTACCTTGCTTTTTCTGAAAATACTACAGTAACAATTGCCGGGACGTGTGGTAATTTATTTGTTAGTTCCCGGAACGGATGGACCAACTCAGACAGTTAAATATTTCAGTCAACACTAATTATCGAAAAGTTAAGGGTTCTTAAGTAGGTTAGCGTCGCCACAAGGCCGTCCTTCGGAGAAGGCCTCATGAAATTTAACAAAATTTTTTAACAAGTTCACTTAGACTGTCAGGGCCACGTGTTGAGCATCTGGTATAAACAGAATAATCGATATTTCAAATAACGCGCGAAATGCATTCCAAAGAACGTAGGAATTCCAAGAATAAGTTGTTAGCAGTTGTGAGAAAGATAATAATAGATCAAATAGCTGTTTTTTAGGCGGATTTTCCAAGCTATAAGAATAGATTAAATGAGATTGACTAATCCGTCCCGTATTGCTACGTGGAGTCACTAGAGGAAGGCTAGGGTAATTTGTAAATCCAGTTAGTCACAGAATTATTTATATAAATGTAAATTCAGTCCATTAGATAACTATTAACATGGCATAGTTATGCCAAAGCGTCCCGATATTCAAGGTTCCCGCCAGTAAGATAAGAACAGAAACGTCTGGACCCAAGAAATGGGCGTGTCGAAGCGAGGTGTCGAATTCAGGTGATCTCATTTTTTCCTTGGGTTCCACATTGAGCAGTATACTTAGTCTTAGAGTCTCGGGTTAATTTAATAATGGATAAAGTAATTCCAACTTTTGCTATGGATCTTGCAATTCCTGAATCTCGGTACGCTGTCGCGTGTAAATGAATCAATAATGTTTGTTCGAGTTTGTTGTGTTACCTACCGTTGTTTTGTTTGTTTTGTTTTTATTGTCATTAAAACCCTTCCTGGAAAGTTTGATGTTTTCTTGTTCTTCCAACTTAAGTGTCACCCTACACAACCAACCACTGGATTACCTTGTACATGAGCGACATACGGTAAGTGTCTGGTATTCATTCTCTAAACGTATAACATTTCTAAGTTCCCACGTATTAATTAAAGTGTAATGATAATTATAAACTCCCTTTCGAGAAGTTAATAGTAAACTCTTTTGTCAGTTAATACCGTTATGATAATGGTTATATCGGTAGATAGATAAATAAAGAAATAACCCCTCAGGTTACACTACTATTATTACGAAAACTTCATTGACGTAAAATACTACTCAGAAAAATGCGATATCCCTAAGTATAGGCAATACTCTGTGACAAAACTGAACTGATTTGATCAACCCATTTGCAATTTTTTTTACTAATACTTACATAGCTTTTTCAGCTTTTTTAATTTTTGTAGTACTCTTAGCTTTTTAAATTTTTACATTTTTTGACACCCTATGTTCCTTACAACGAGCGTTGTTCATATGAAATGAATACAGGGAATTTACTAAAAAATAAGTATGTCGGAGCAAAACCTTGAAAGGATATTGAAATGAACACAGACATGATAACACATGGGGAAAACTTAAAAAACAGTATTTACAAGGCATATCCACAAAGTAAAGGAAGGTACCCAATTTTTTAAAAATTGAAACGGCAGTATATTTATAAAAAATTTACATATTTAGAAAGGTGCGCCAAACGTCCATTTTCCGACGTAGTCAACGTCAGTGCATTCTGGGAGTCGAGATATGAGCTATCTAATACCTTCGTCAAAAAACTCTTGCACGGCACTGTGGACCTCATCATCGGTAGAAAACCATTTTCTGCACATAAACATTTTCAGACAAAAAGAAAGAACACAATCAGAAGGTGCCAGGTCAGGGCTGTGAGTGGGGTGGTTGATGATGTTCCAACCGAATGAATCCAAGAGTTGCTTTATGGCATTATCTGTAACAAGCACACCCCCTTAGTTTGTGCCCTTATTTTGTTCTGTATTGCCCTCTGTAGTGTTTTCAGGGTTTCACAGTACCGCGCATCATTAATTGTTTCTTCCTGGGTCGAAAAGTCAATGAGGAGAATCCCTTTACGGTCCCAAAACACAGTTGCCATGATTTTTTGAGCCGAAACAACGGTTTTTATTTTTTTCGCTGATGGTGAATACGGATGTCGGTACCGCATTGATTGTCTTTTCGTCCTATAAACAGTTTTGATTTCCTTAAAAATCTGAAACGCCGCCTTTCTCTTTACCTCACCTCGCAGCTGCCGGGATTCGGAACAATGGCACTCATTTCAACACGCCACTACAACAGCAGTACTCAACTGATTGAGACAAAAGATCGCGCGTTCTGCTCTCAACACCTTGGCCCTAAATACAAAGTTGCCAACTTTGTCGAAAACAAAAACCACAAAGCATCAGAGTGTCAGTACTCTTACTTTGTGGATATGCCTCGTAATTCAATACGAGTATTAATAAACTTAGTCGGCGTGTAGCTTTGTAGCTAAAATTAAATAGATAAAAAAAAGTTTACTATCATTTACGTAACACAGCAATATTTTAAAACTATTTGTTTTGCATGCTACGTATGCTACGCATTTAGCGAAGATAGTGGACATAGCGAACATAACGCTGTGTGTACTCCTAATACAGATAATTATGTTGGTAAAACAACAATTCATTCTACATACCGAAGACACATTGTATCGAATTAGAATGAAAGCTTGATCCTCCGACAGAGTAAAGGAAGCCCCAGAATAATTTGTCTGAAAAAAATATATAAACCAAATCAGATTATCGCTATAAATCAATCATATACGTTTACAGTCAATGATAATCTTATTAATTGTATATTTTTTTAATGTGTAATATCTTAATAATAAATATTGAACAAATTTAATAAAATTTAAGGTTCTAAAAAAACTTTAATGAATCTAATTGTCATATATACCTAAATCATTAAATTGATAATATTAAACAAAGAAAAAGCTATTTTACAGGAAAATAATGTGATTGTAATAAGAAATGATACAATCAACCTCTTTTGTACCTCATCAATGTCTCATACTCAAATTATTTGAGTCGTATGAGTTTAAAAAATTCCTTTGTGTTGGCAGTTTAAAAATCATAGCAGCGTTAACTAAATTCTAAGCAATGTAATAACAATTTTAAAGTAGGTAATGTTTTATTTATGTAAATTTAGTAACATATCACTAAGAATAGAACATATATTGCATTGCATCTGGAATTTCCTCTAACTTTTAAAGTATTTATATTTATTTAAAGTCATGACTACTGTTGGATGGTATTACAAAGTCAGGAAGTGAAAATCATTGAATCTTAAAAAATAACCAAATTACACATTTATATGCAACGTTAAATAAACAATTAATGTTTTTATATAAAGTCTTGTACTGGTTGATGATAATAATAATGATATACTTGCTAATAATATATGATATGTTCATGTTAGCACTGAATTGAATCCACAAAATATTTTGTCTATATTTTTCTATAGCAAATAATAAAATATTATAATTACTTGAAAATGTTAATTTACAATCATTATTTAAATATTTAATTCAAGTAATTCGTTAAAGATTCCCTCAACAAATGTATACAAATCACAATATTTATAAGTAATTGACTATTCGTGATTACACATTCTTCTTTTCTATAAAAAAAAAATAATAAATAGATAAAGCATACTCACTACTACTACGTCGTTTTTTTGTATAAGAGAATTATTGTGGAAGAATGTATTCATATCTTTACTATCACTTTTAGGACTTAACCTTGATGCCTGTAGTGGAACTGTCCTTATTAATGATTGTTAATGGTCATGGTTCCATCAGAAACTAGTTTTTCTTGCTTTTGGTTGATTTGTTTATTACTATTATCAATTTGCAAAATAGCTTGGTTTTCCCTACAAACTGTATTAACGCTTGTACGAGGTCTGCACAAAAAATAATAATAACTGAACATTTTGAATTACGCGGTAAAGGAGATATTTAGTGATATGCTGTTGGCAGCATTGCATTGCACATAACCTCCTCTGTAACCACACGTTCTTGGTTATTGATATCTCATTTAGTTTTTTGAGTGCAACGTATTTTTGAAATGTGCGATTTTATGGAACAACGATGCAACGTAAAATTTTGCGAGAAACTAGGGACTTTCACGGAAACGCTTCAACTTTTGAAACAAGGGTACGGAGATGATGCTCTGGGTCGTACGCAGTGTTACGAATGGTTTTCATGATTCGTCAGTCAATTGAAGATGGTCCTCACCCAAGAAGGCCTTCGACTTTAACGGACGACTCCCGTTCAGAAAGTCAAAGATCTGGTGCGTGCAAATCGCTGATTGATTGTCAGATAAATTGCAGAAGAGGTTAGCATATCAATGCTATGAAATTGAACATGCATGCAGTTGTAGCAAAGTTTGTTCCTCGTTTGATGACAGAACAACAGAAAGAAACTCGTGTGGACGTTTGTCGGCAACTCCTTGAACAATCCAATGATGATGAAACATTCATTCAGAGGATCATAACGGGAGAAGAAAGCTGGGTTTACGGCTACGACATTGAGACAAAAGTTCAATCATCACATGGATGGTATGGTACGAAATGCCTAAAAGGTGGCCAAAAATGAAAAAGAAAAAGTTTCTATTTGGAATTTTTTAAGTATCAGGTTGGCAATAGGGATAGTTGGGCTATTCAAATTGACCGGTGGAAACAGTATGCCGTTTATACTTGAGCTAGAATTAGAAGTTGAAGTAACCTTATTGTGTGTCTCCTGGCTGCCTAAGCGAACACAAAAGTACATCGCACGTTCAAAGTGCTGTAAAAATTTATTTATCATTCTCATAAAGTCGCAATAAAATTGACGCTGTTCCAGGAGGTATGTAAAGTATTTTAACATTATAAATTATTCATAATAAATTATTCATTATCCACTTATGTTCATTATGGTTTATGACAAATAATGCTTAAATTTATTACGAAACTCATTCAAAAGTGAACTTAAAAGTTATAGGTATACGGTTATTCACGGTAAGTGGCCTATTAGACTTTCAGAGGAACCAAAGACAATATGACTCTGAAATTTTGTTTATGGGGGTTATCAGATATGTTCTCTTCAACAAAAATAATGCCATCAACGTACCACGTCCGGTTATACCGGAAGTAGCTGTCAACTTCGTTATTTTAAATGGAACACCTTATATATTAGGTATTGCATTATCGACAAGATTAAAAATTAAAAATAAGTCAAAAATGTTAAAGCTTCCCTGTAACTAAATCTAACCGATTTCGAAATAATCGTCATTTTACAAAAAATTTGACAGATGCAAGCGTTCCGAAAATTCCTTATATCTTTCTTCGTTCTGGAAGCTTTCACTTGCTTTTCAGAGTCATATTGTCTTTGGTTCCTCTGAAACATCTAAAAATCCATTTACCGTGAAGAACCCTGTATAAGTCACCATAAGGCTAAATGACTTATTGGCCCGTAATCTAGGACCAATTTAGTATAATATTATGAAAAAAAATCTGCGCAGCTATTTCAATTTTACGATATGAATAAAACAAAAGTTGCAATAAATCGTAATCCAATTATTTCGTAAATGTCGAACAAAAAGTGAAAAAAATATTGCACTTATTATAAAATAAGTAAAAATAATGTTTGGAAAAATACAATAAAGGCAATAAGTAAATAAAGAGAAATATCGCCAAGGCTTCTCACGAAAGTGTTCCCGAGAAAAAATATGAAAGATGTTTTTTGAGACTTCTGGCAACATCAGATCCATATATTTCTACTTTGCGAGAAGATCCACAGAAGGAAATTAAAGAATTGACTGACGATGCAAGAGGATTATTATGTTTACCAAACAATATTCCAGTTTCTGACGAAAATGACAATTCCTGTGATGACTCGGATGAAAGTGATGAATATTCAACAGAATAACATGATCAAATTAGGGAATTTTAATAATTGTAATTTGTCTACTTTATAATAAATTGAATTTTCGCACAATCAGTGCGGTCAAAAACCCCAATATATCCACTTCCAGTAGTTTATTCCACTTTTGTAAAATTTCATCTGCCATATTGTATCCGCCATTTTAATTTTTTCAATTTCAATATGAAATTCGTAATCATTGTTGTCAAATACCCCATTTTGTCAGTTTATTCGACATTTTTTAAATTTAATCCGCCATAACGCCATTCTGAATTTTTCAATTTTGATATCAAATTCGTAATCGGTTGGGTCAAAAACCCCAGTATACTCACTTTTGTACAATTTGGAATAATTTTTTATTTTTGGCCATCTTTTAGGCATTTTCGCGCCACAAGAAAGCACATCAGTCTCGAAGCAACGTCAAAGTAATGCTCACTGTTTTTTTCGATTTCGCGAAATGGAAACACCGCTGGGAAAAGTGTGCGAATAGGGGATGGGAGAACTTTGAAGGAGACAAGGACCAATAATGTATAAAATTAATAATGAAGTTTAAAAACATAAAGTTCGGTAATTTTCTGAACAAACCTCGTATATGGGCAACATTAAAAATTCGTACAAAAATTTATGACCCTTATATTTATACCTATCAATTTTTATTTAAAATTAATACTAGTTAAGAAACTTAAATCCTGTACGTTCACAATACCCAACTAATCTATCTATATTGTTTTATGGTGCTTTCGACATTTATTCCACTAATCTTTCCAATAAAATTATTGATACGTACAATCGTTTTGGTATGGTTCGCATATTTTGGAAGTAATTAAGTTTAATGTTTAGTCACATACGAAAAATGTGTTACTAAGGTGTTAAGAGATTTTGGTAATAAATTTTACAATCTCTAAATTTTTTGTTTCACTTGTAGTAAAATATATTATAGACGAATATATTTTATGCACTTTTCGTGGTTACAAAATTAGTCAAGCAGTAACAACGTGCAGTTATATAATGGTTGTCACTTAATACAGGGTGCATATATTTTAAATTCCCAATTTCTGAAATTACAAAAATGGATTCCTGAAAAATGATAACCTATAAGATTTTGAAAAATATAACATTCACACAAATATCTCTCGAGATGTGTGACGTAGACCAATGAAATATGAACTAATTAAATAAAAATGTAAAAAAATAACTGAATTTGTACATAATCATGTGGAAATATTGGAAGAAACAAAGAAAAATATTCCCTTTTATTAGAAGATTATTGTTTTAATATACTTGTTTCATATTGCAAATAATTTTTGTTGTTGTATATATTATTTTATTTAGACAGGGTGTTAATGAACTTATGTCAAAAATTTAAAGGGGTGAAAAAGGAGCAAAAACTAAGTTAACTGATGTCACAAACTTGTATCGGAAATTTAAGGTCATAGAAAAAAAAGCTAATTAAAGATGTGCTTAAAACTGCTGAAATACATGTATTTTATCGCGACGAATACTTACAAAAAATTCTGTAACACTTTTTACGAGTTTGTAAATTTCTTATGAAGCCGGACTGTATTCTAAGGTCAGTTTGTAATGCATTGTTGTAGTGATTGCTGTACTGTTTTTCGACATTATTTCGAAGTCCTTTTTTAAATGGCGCATTTATTTAGCAATCGCGAATATTATGATATGCTCATAATTTATGGCGAATCAAACGAAAATGCCCGCAAAGCTTGTCAAGTGTATCGTGCAAGATATCCTGAACGACGTGCCCACGCACCCCGAACATTTGTTGCTGTAGAGTCAAAAGTTTTGGACACCAG